AGGGCTAGAACACCCAAAGCTTTCAGATGTTGCAAGTCACGGGGGCTTTTGAACAAATCGTCGTTCTTTAAAGATTAATTGTTTCTATTTTTCTTCCCTTTGAAAAATAAGCCATAATTGCATTGTCTTTTTTTCATCTAAATGTAGTTTTCCCCTTTCTCCGCTATCTGACGGTTTGGGGAATTTTTGTCGGTTAAACCCTTCGGGGAATCCCCTTTTTTTAATTTATTGATTATATCCCCCTTTGTACTCTCTAGTCTTTTAAACCTTCGAATGCCGGATCCCGGTTCGATCCCAGCTCGGGATCCCCCTTGCGTTCGACCGTCCAAAACCCAGGGAAAACTACGGGACTAAATTTCTAAAAACCCACAACGCCGGGGGTTTTTGGGGGTTGGGTTTTCTGCAACGTCCTGTAAAAACGCAACAAACCATTGTACTCTGGGGCCCATTAAAAATGTTCCTGGGGTACACCCCCTTTTGGGGTTCTTACCCCCCCCTTTCCCCCCTGAAATAAGGTCGAGAACCAGCCCCTTGTATTGGGTTCCACACGATGTATCAATAAAGAAAAAAATAAACAGCGCAGCAAAAATCCAAAAACCTAAAAAGGGAAAAAAAAGGAGTTTTTCCAAAAGGGCAAGATAATTTAAACTGACCTATTCGTATATAAAATATATTGAAGTAATCAATATGTAAAAACACCAAGTAACAAAAACAAAATGTTATACTGTTGGGAAGAAGGCAGTTTAAAACTCCTTAAAAATTTAAGAAAAGGGCGACGAGGCCACTCCATTTCCCTCTAAAATTTTAGGGCTCAAAATGTCTAACCCAATTTTGCGCCATTGAAAGTAGCAGCCAACCCAACCCATACAGATGAGGAATAATGAACTAAACAGAAATTGTGGAACGACCTTGTATAAATTCATCAAAAAACAAAGGGTCAAATGGTTTTGGCCCCTCGTTAGAATGCAGCAAGATCAAAAACCATCACAAGCACTACTTCGAAGATCAACTACAAGGAAAGGACGGCCCGAAAAATGGGCGACAACATTAAAGACATCTACGCCTTTACGGCATGAAATAGCCATTGCACCAAAGTCACTGGATCGCAAAAATTTTTTCCTCCCCCCGCCCCTTAAAGGAGGAGTGGTTTTTTGATATGATATATGGATTTTATCAGACGTTTCTTTTCGTCGAGATAAAAAATGACGACAGTCCATTTCGTTTCCCCTGCTTCGCGACGTTCAACCCCATTCCCTAAGGGGGGGGCCCTTTGGGTTTTAATTGTGACTAGGGTATTCGCGCCCCATTAAAATGGCTTAGCCCTGCACGCTACCAAAAGCCCTGAAAATGACTCCTGCAGTTTTGATGCAATCGTCTACCGGCGAGTCAATTAGGGGGAGAGGGGTAAGGTGGGGCGTTTGAAAAAAAAGGGGTGAGGGTTAAGAAGAAAAAAAAAAAGGGGGGGGGGATGCAAGTCCTAATTAAATACCCACAAAGTAAGGTATTCCAGTGCAGCCTCCACCAGAGTTCGCCGGGTTCTGCCAGAAGCACAGTACACAAATCAGAGCCAGCTAGTGCAGCGTTCTGTAGTCCGCTTTTAGAGATTAGCTCCACTGATGACACTGCTGGCAATTCACCTCACCTGGAGACTCTCACAAACGTGAAAAGACTTTCCCTGGTATTCCTGTGCTGCTAGGATAGTGACTCTGATAATGAATGGCTCTAATAAAAGAAGCTGGTAAGTTTAGGTTCATGACATAATTATTTTTGTAGAATACAGTTCGTTGACGTTGTATTCATTAGGAGGCTCTTTGCTGCAGGTAAAACATGACTTAGGGGATGAAGACCGTAATGAGGATATCCAAACCACTACCTTTTTTTTTCCCAGCCGCGATCTTCTACTTTTTATATTAATTAGGGTTTTTATTTTGTTTCTTTCTCCTCTTATTCTTCTTTTTCTTTTCTTCTTCTTCTTCTTCTTCTTCTTCTTCTTCTTCTTCTTCTTCTTCTTCTTCTTCTTCTTCTTCTTCTTCTTCTTCTTCTTCTTCTTCTTCTTCTTCTTCTTCTTCTTCTTCTTTTTCTTTATCTTCTTTTTGCTGTAGTTGTTATTGTTATTGTTGTAGTTGTTGTTGTTCTTCTTCTTCTTGTTTTTTTCTCCTCCTCCTCCTTCTCCTTCTTCTTCTTCTTCTTCTTCTTCTTCTTCTTCTTCTTCTTCTTCTTCTTTTCCTCTTCCTGCTTCGCCTCTTTTTTTCTGCTCCTTTTTCGTTTTCTTCACTGAATTATACTACTACTATCATTTCTTCTGCTGCTGCTGCTACTGGTGCTGTTGTTGCTACTACTATTACTACTACTGCTACTACTACTACTACTGCTACTACTACTACTACTGCTACTACTATTACTACAACTGCTACTACTACTACTACTACTACTACTACTACTACTGCTACTACTACTACTGCTACTACTACTACCACAACTGCTACTACTACTACTACAACTGCTACTACTACTACTACTACTACTACTACTACTACTACTACTACTTCTACTACTACTACTACTACTACTACTACTGCTAATACTACTACTACAACTGCTACTATTACAACTACTACTGCTACTACTACTACTACTGCGACTACTACTACTACAACTGCTGCTACTACTACTACTACTACTACTACTACTGCTACTGCTACTACTACTACTACTACTGCTACTACTACTACTACTACTACTACTACTACTACTATACTACTACTACTACTACTACTACTACTACTACGACTACTACTACTACTACCTACTTCTACTTTTCACACATTTACATACAAATCATATGTATATATATATATATATATATATATATATCTATATATATATATATATATATATATATATATATATGTATAACATACATATATTATGTATGTATAACTACATATATATGTATATCTCTATATATATATATATATCTATATATATAATATCTATATATATTTTAATAAAAATGTTAAATTTGCGATGTTGTTATTTAAAAACTCGGAAACCACTGAACCGATTGCTTTTACATTTGCACACATCGTTGCCTTTGACTCAAATCGTGATTTTTTGTCAGATAATCGCACAAACCACGAACGACGTAGCTCAAGCAACGGTCACATCATTATTTGTTTTGTTGCCGGCCCGGATTTGTTTTAAGTCAATTGGCCATATTTGACTGCTGAGCTCTTATTGAACTTTGCATTATTATATACTTTCACTTTCACCCGCGTTCGATTCCCCGCATGTTCTTTTTTCATAATTTCGTCAGGTGATGATTTTTCAATCCTTCGGAGAGGGAGATATGATTGGTGAAAAGGGGTTTATGCCAGACACAGTTAGCTGAAATAGCTAAAAATATTATTTCACAGTTCTCATTTCTAAACTACTTTTATTTTAATAATTTCGCCATGGATTATTTTTCAATCGTTCGGAGAGGGAGATAGGGACTGGGTCGAGGGGAGTGGAAAAGGGGGGGGGGGGGGGATATGACAGACACTGTTAGCCGAGAGCTGTTTCCTTTCCTCTCCATTTCACCATCTTGTCCACAGCAACGAGTGGCTGGGTACAGTTATTATATATATATATATATATATATATATATATATATATATATATATATATATATATATATATATATATATATACAGATATATACACCGATGTCTTACAGGCAACGTAAGCCGAAGTGGCCACCAGCAGATAATCACCATACTGGCACTGAAATGTTAAATAAAGAGATTAAGGAGGCGAGGGCTCACAAAAGAAACCCTAGGACGAACGTTGATGATGGAGGCTAAAGCTGCTGGACTGGATTTTATCAATGATATTGAAATGATTTCACAGGATAGAACATGATGGAGAAATAGACTGCGAGCCCTATGTGACACATAATGGCACAGCAAGAAAATGAATGAATGAGTAGATGTATACACACACACACATCAGTATACACACGTATATATATATAATATATATATATATATATATATATATATATATATATATATATATATATACATATAAATAATAAAGAAATTGAAAATGTCACAAACTTTGAATATCTAGGCTCTATAATAAACAGCAATGGAGACTGTTCAACAGAAATTGTTGTTTGTTTTAGTATCCAGAAGCCATGAGTTGTTAACCCTTAGGCTCGGTATTATGGATATCGCAACCTTTCGGCCTTGATTCCATTGTAAATACCGTAAATCTGGGAGAAAATGTGGCTTTCCTGCCTACCCCCGGGATTGAACCCGGACCACAAGGAGTACGTCACCCGGTCTCCGTGAAATCCGGTTTAGCCAATTCCGCTAGAGAGCCCGGCTTCAACAGAAATTAGAAGGAGGATGGCCTTGGCAATGCAAAGATTGAACAGCCTTAAAAGTCTATTTTTAAGCACCAGCAAGGAGATAAAAATTAGAATTTTGAGAGCATGCATCTTTCCTGTGGCTACATGCGGATGTGAGTCGTGGACTATCTCTCAGTCCTTAAGAAAGAGAATAGCGGCTTTTGAGCTGAAATGCTATAGAAAGATTCTCAGAATATCTTGGACAAAAAAGAGGAGAAATATTGACATCTTAAAAGATCTTAACATCAAGGAAGACTGGCGAATAAACAGCATTCTTTCTCGGAAGCTGAAATATTTTGGTCATATCAAGCGCCACGACGGGTTGGAAAAAAACTATAGCAGAAGGCATGGTACCGGGAAGGAGAGCAGGGGCCGACCGACACGAAGATGGGCACAGGATATAAGTGACTCCGTGGGTGTGAAAGTTAATGAGGCGGGAGAACTGGCAAGAGACCGAGTTTCTTTTAGACAGACTGTGATGAGAGCGACGTTCTGCAAAGGACCTGCTACATGATGGTGGTACATACATACATATAAATACAGTTTTGGCTTATGTCCTTTAGGCTGCTGGCAGATTGGATCTTTATGTAGCCTGAACCCAGAC